AATACAAAGAAAATTCTTAAAACACATTCATTTTCTGATCTCATATAAATAGTATTGTAATTGCTTACCCCCATTTCCTCTCATTATGCCCCTGAATCTGCCCTTGGGCTAGTTCAACCAGAAAACCATGGCAATGACATAGTATTAGTTTTGGAGATAGGCCACAGTATCTTCAAAGTCAGTGTGGAGAATTATCTGCATTTCATAAGGACAAAGACACAAGGATACTGATACACTGTCTAGCACATGTATCTCTTTCTTTTCCTTCCAGGTTAGGAATGGCTTTTGGAATGTTTTTGATTATTTTCTCTGCCAGTCCAGAGCTCAAAAGAAGGTTGAGAGATTGCTGCTCTTGAGGGTGGAAAGTTCCTTCTTCATTTTATAATCTGTATGTTATTGCGGTTGCTTTTGGCTGGGAAATTTCATTTTTATTTCTAATCTCCGCCATGTGTCGGTCAATTTTGACTTAAATTCCCTTCACCCTCTCCCTGCTGTGCAGCTCTGCAAGCCATATTGCAAACATATTTTTCAGCATGGGTGGGAGGTAGCATTGTGGTTTTGGGCTTTGCTATTGATATGGATTCCCCGTTTTCTTTGTTGGAAATATTTTTTTCTTTAGAAATAGAGTTGATGGTAAACAGCTTTCATTTAGTCCCCAGGGGGAGGTGCAGGGAACATTTTCATGCAAGTTTGAATAAGGAAATTAAATCACAATTTCCCAACTTTTCTAATTAATTCGATGATACAGTCATCATCTCATGAAATCTTCATCTTGATCCTTTATTGGGATTACGCAGAAGAATAGAAGTTTAAACTTTGTAGACTCCACTTGTAATTAAATCTCACTCCAGTAAATTAGTACTGCAGCATTGTGGCTTATTGCCAGTGGACGGAAATTAGGGGATTGTTTGATCCTCAACCAAGAAAATACCAATGTCCTCCAAAAGGACAGCTTTACAGAAAACATTCAAAATGCTGACAAGCTGTCAATGCTTTCCATTCTTTTTAACACTGTTTTGTCTCTCTTCTTTGAGCTGGTGGCTCCTGCCAAGTAGAGATTCACTTCTCACATATACTTGTCTCTATCAGATCTTGAACCTGGACAAAAGTGCCCACTGTGCAATTGCAAGAACTTCTGCCATTTAAAATGCAAGAACATTTCACTTCAACTTTTCTCCCAATCACTCCACTAGTTTCTCCTTTGAAAAGAGGCAGTGAAGAAAATATCAACATTTTAACACAAAGAGAAAGTCAAGTTCTATAAAACCAACATTCAGCTGGCTGTCCATGTGGCAACGGCAACAGAATGTTGACCCTCGATATTAACAGTGATTTACGACATTAAACAAACAGAAATATTTTACTAAATTCCAATTTTTATATGTAAACAATCTTGGTAGTACTGGTTGTTTTGTAAGGGTGACAGATTAATTCTATTACTTTTACCACTTTGAGTATATGCCATCCTTCCTGTTTTTCAAGAGTTATTGGATGTTTCAGTATATAGACTATTTGCTCCCAAAATCAGGAGCTGAGTCAAGGAAACTCGATGGTTTCGATACACGATACAGTTTTTTGCAGAAAAGACTAACATGATGTAAAACCTGTGGTGTGAAATACAGCAGTCCTTGTGCCAAGGGAAAGTTTCTTGAGTTAGTAGCTGACAAGTGATGCTTAGTCAGGCATATTACCGGGCATTTAATTTACCAGTGATCTTGAGTCATTCAAAGGGATTTCCCTCCTTTGCCTCCTCCATCCCACCCTGCTGACCTGTGATGGCGGTGGGGTTTGAAACACATACTTAAGAGCTCTCCTCAGACTGCACTTCTGTCTAGCTCAAAATGCCTCTAGCAAGGATGCTGGCGTGGGGTCCAAAAACAGGGATTCTCCGTGGAATCTCTGTTTGTGTTCAGGGCACCGCATGAAGCACTGCTTGCGCCTGCAAACCCCAGCAACCCCCTGGGCAGGCCTGACACCCCTCCCTCTGCACCCCTCCGCCTGCGCCGGGGGGACCTGCCTGGCCTTGTCCACACAGGCGAGTAAAGCTGGACTTGGACTCTTCATTAGCCCCCAAAGCTCACAGTGACTCTTCTTTCTCAGACAGAGCTTAATAGCCAGAAACTTTGTGTTCGTTGTTTATCTTCCGGGCACCTTAGCTCTGCCACCAACTGCTGTTGCTGCCGCTAACCCCTTAGGGCGAGTGTCCGTTCTGGATTTCAGCCGGGTAAGTGGGAGGCGATGGCAAGTCCTATTTAGCTATCCATCTCCTGAGAGGTCTCACTATTAAACATTTTTGAAAAGTATAAACCAGGCATGGCGGTTTTGCATGAATTTTTGGGAATGCTCGTGAAACCAGTGTCTTCCAACCAAGCCCTCTGATAACCTCTCAACCAACCCCAGCTTCCCCAGCTGCAGCATAGCACAAGCTGGATACACAACAGTTTGTAACGTGATTCCTGAGATTCTACCTCTGCTCTTCCTCCTGTGAATAAAGATAAACACACAGTTCTTCACTGCTGCTCTGCAGTCACACCCCTGCATTGCAGGAGGCGCTGGAAACAGGCTGCCGCATCCTCCTCTGCATCCACCCAGTCCTATGCTCCTGCCGTTGCCATTACCTGTGACAGCTGTTGCCCTGACAGTTTCATGCACCAATTGAGACAGGCACTGAAAGTCACCATTTACTGTTATTTAACCACATCTGGTGTAAAAGGAGCTTTCTGTTGACTGCTGTTTGCAACTGGCAAAAGGTTTCTGGAACAGTGTTCAGCTATGGTGCCATCCAGCCCATTCCTCTACCTGATATTTTAATTATGGCACAATTTCAGTAGAAACACTGAGGCACAATTATTCATAAAACTGTACTTGTATTTCTTAGTTGTCTGTGTCATAGTATCAAATAAAACAACCAATGTTCTTAGAGGAATACACCATTTTTAAAGCAGTACTAACTCCAGTCTTTCATCCACTGGTCAGTCACATACTAATGCAAAACAAAGCTTACTAACTTTCTATGTTTTAATTTCTCATTCTTAGCCAATAAAACCTTCCCGACTATATTGCTGCTTCTTATTTCTTTTTTTTTTTTTTCTTTTAAATCTTGGCTGTTTATGGAAAAGTCGTTATTTGACATAACTGATGAAACAGACATGTTGCAGAATCAATTAACCCCCTCCCCATCAGGAGAAAATAAATGCACAGAAAACTCTTGTTCCACAGAGACATGAACTGAAGGTAGCAGGACAGGTTACGTGTGACAATTTACAGTTCTCCGGAAATCAAGGATAAAATAAAACTTTCAAGTTATCGCCAGGCATCTCAGCTTTACTAGTAAGTAGGATGATGAGAGTTGAAGCAATTATTTTTAAGAACTGTTTTTTAATGGGCAGAATTGGGGGGGGTGGTGGGGGTGGTGGTGTGTGTGACACCATGTTTAGTAGCTATTTACTAGCCCCCAGCTGTCCTAGGTGGTGATGAAGAAGGGTGGATATAGTAAGAGCGGTGCAAACGGTTTGTCAAGTATTGCTACACAGCATGCACGAGAGTTAATAAAATAAATTATACACCACATTTTCTTTTCAAACAAGCTTTAAATAGTCCATATGTAACAGAATCATGTGTTACAGACAAGAAGTTCTTGCTGCCAAAACACAGGATGAGTGTTTTTCCCTATCGTTCTTTCCAAATTACAGACATAGGAAAAAATATTCTAAGAAATTAGAAGATTTTAAAAAATAAAATTAAGCTAAAACCCAGAAAAGGCCAGTAGAATAGACCAGTGAAGTACATGAACAAGACATCAGAAGAACGTTAATACATAGGTACTTACAAAAAAACACACAGGAGTGGACATAAAGGCTTTAAAGACACAGATACTATGCAGGCTAATTGAGCATCAAAGAGCAGAATGCATAGGCTTTATTATAAACTCTGTAATTCATGCATTTGTGTGTGCAGATAAAATATACTTAAAGCCATGTATTTAAATACTGTCAAGAAGACACCCGAACTCCTCCCCAGCAACACCAGTTGACTTCAGGGAAGAATTAAACCCAGTTTTGTATGGTTTTATACACTGGCCTAATCCAAACCCATAATCTGTAAAATGGAACAAAGTAAAAGAAAAGGATCAGGTAAAAGAAAGACATCAGATATTTTTCTGAGACACTCAGAGACAGCAGGACAAACCCACTGTTCGGTAATCACCATCACTGGAATGTAATGGCAGGAACACCAGCTTGGACAGTTCTCAGCTGTGTTTCAGAAAGTGGCTCCAAGAAGAACGATCCAAGGGTTGAGTGGGGAAAAATAGAAATTAACCCTGTAGTATGTACATACATAGACGGGTCTTTTCAGAAAAAAATAAGGTAGCACTACTGAGTATGTGGCAATATGGAGTGTGCATTAAGATATACAAGTGAAATCTGCTTGGGGCACCTTCACTCAGAGGGATAAGTCTTCTTAAAATATTATAATAATAATAATAATAATACTTCTTTATACTTGCCACTTGTTAGCAATTGTTTACATCGTAGAAAAATAGATAGTATTCTGTAACAAGAAATATAGTTACTTTGTTAAAATGGGCTATTTTAAACCAGCTACTATTCTTTCATATAAAGAATTTCTAAACAGCAAAACAAAAATAGGTAATACTGAGTGCAAAACAGCCAGTGGTATACTTTGCATTGGTTTCAAACACTAGTTGCCAGCTACTATAGTTACACGTTCTGTACACTGTACTACAAAAGTCTTCCATCTTTTAGAAGCTTTGGGGTTTTGCTTTTGTTCTCACTAGGTGACAAGTATTTAATCCAGGTAAATTCAAACTCTGGAAGTCACAAACAATTTCACAGTCTTCGCTAGCACTCTCTCGCATTCCTTCCCCCATGTAGTGCAGCAGCACTTTCTACTTATGGCCAAAAATCCCTTAAGTTAAACAAAGTTTAGACTGTAGATACTTAGAAGTTTAGCTTATAAATTCACATTCTTTTAAAAATAATTTCACTAATCTCCCACGTTTACACTTACACCAAAGAGAAAGCTCAAAAGCCTCACTTCATGCATTTCATCATCCCCACTGAAGACTGAAATAGAGTTCAGATAAAAACTCTTTGCCAACAGTAGGTATTAAGTCTTAGCGCTACAAAGCCAGATGGTTCCAATGTAGAAGTCAGATTTTTCTGTGGTCTCCGCAACAGTTTCAGATACAAATAGCTAATTCCTAGTGGCAGTGATAAAGGCATTATCAGTACACCATGAACACCACAAATGGAGGCAATTTCCAAGCATCAAAGAACATAAAACAAACAAAAAGCACCCAGAAAAAAAAAAATCAGGGAAACATTCCTAGTAGAGCAGAAATCTCTCTATTCTCCTCTTCATTCATCTCACACCTTTTCAACTTTGGTGGGGTCATATGTATCTGAAAAAAACACAAGAAAACACTATTAATAATGTATTGTGAAATCTATTTAATGCTGCTAACTGTGGAAATGAGACATCTTTTCCCTAGTTTTTACTAAAAAAAAAAGATAATACTGGACTTACAGCCTTAAAGATACATACTACAGTCCTGACCCAAATGCTATATTTAAATCAGTGGAATTCAGGACCAACTTGGATCAAATGCATGGAGACAGAATTTGGAAAGCCTTTGGTAGGTAGGAACAAGCATACTGAATGCTAAGTCATTACTTTTACTTTTCAGATGCTTTGACAGGGAGAGAAAGACATAAGATGCGCCCCCCCCCTCCCCCCCCATTGTACCAAACACTAAGGACGAGTAAATGCACCCTAGCAGTGTGTTTAAGGCTTGCTGAAGAAGTGATGACGCCATCCAGTCATCAGGGTCTTGTCATTCGATTGCAAATCCTTGGTTTCAGATTGACTCAACAAAACACAGAAAAGCACAGCTGCCTGCATCGCTATGGTTAAACGGTCTCGCTTCAGTCTGCAAAACTGCAGCTCACATTTTGAACATCATTCACTAAAGCACCAGACTGGCTTACTGACATTGGTCTTAATTTTCAGCCTATCTCTTGTCAGTTCACAGAACAGATCGCACTTTGTTTTTCTTTTCCTGAAGCTCCAAGGACACTCTTTTGCCAGACTTTTTAATTGGATTTATCCCAACACTGGCCATGAAGTGAGCAGATACAAGCCTTTTCCTTCACCCTTGTGACTCTGGGATAGGATCGCAACAAAAGGGCTTTGCCTTGTGAGATCTGCCTGCCCTGTGCCATCATGCACGTCTGACATACCCTAGGCTCCTTGGGGTGCACAGTCATGGCATGGAGGAACCGGGGCTACCTACGGAGGTGTCTGTAGGCACACAGGGGCCTGGACAAATCCGCACTGCAGCCCGCGCCACCGTGTGCTATTTGCTGCTCTTATGCAACCTGGGAATCTATGCTAACCTTAAACGTCCCTCCCGTAGGCAGTACTCCCACAGCACTCGCATTTAAACAGTTGAGCGTGAAAATAGTTGCACACATGAATATCACACTTTGGAGTAAAACATTCACCCTCGAGACTTTTCTGTTGATATGAGTGAATGACTTCATTCAAACAAGCATAAAAATCTTCAGAGGGAAATTTTTACTCCTGTGTGCAAGTGTCCATCTGCAGCATCCAGACTCATATCAAGGGGGTCTGGCTGGGAAAGAACTTCTGGATTTGGCCCCAGTGGGTGGATTCCTCATGCAGGATCCTTTATCGCTTCTCTTGCCCACTCTCCTCAAATTGCTACGCCAGCCAAGAAAGGAGTCTGTGCCAGCAACACCTATGTTTTCAGAACTGCTTATCACCATTCAGCCTCTTCTCATATTTCCAAACTTCAAGAACAGACACCACATGAATGCAAAAAAATCAAGAGGAAAAATTTTTTGAGGGCTAGTGCACTCCAGGATAACGCTGCATCTTTCTAAGCTTAATGCACTGATGGTGTGGGAAGATGCTTCTAAAGCAGTAACATTTTTTCCATTGCAAATACTTTGCCATCTAAACTGCTAGAACATACAAAAATTCTGAACTGTTCTATGTGAGTTTTACCTAAGAATAAAAATGGATTCACATTTCAGAAGCCTGATTTTCCTAAGGCCAGACACACTAATAGAACCCACAAAATTGAAGGTGCTCACTGTTTCGGGGAGTGGCAGGGGGGAGAAAACCAAGCCACAAGACATGGATCCTCTGCGTGGCTCTGTTTATTCCTGCAAATTTACCCACACCCTCAGCACCTAAACTAAGGACACAAAAGGGCCAGACTGCCAGGCTGCATTACACTTCTGGGGGGACAAACACTGGAGTTCTAGCACTGATACAGAAATGTTTATTCAACATTTGGTTAAGCTCATTTGAAATGCTCTCTGCAGAAACAAAGCCAGATCAGCAACCTCATGGAAGCAGTCTTCAAACAGCAAAGGAGAAAAGACATTCAGTGCATTTGGGAACATTTGGAGACGTTCTTCTAATGGCAGTATTTGCATAGTAAGATCAGCTTCTTGCACTGAGTTTCGGCAGAGCTCTTACTCTGAGAGACGACTGTTCATCTGCCAAGCTGCATTAAACATGTGAAAACCTGTTTCTGCTAAGGCCTCTAGCCTCTGTGACAGGCCCAGTCTGCAATTATAAGACTAACATCACCTTACCTCACTTCAAATAGAATGGCCTTTAGCAAAATTTACTCTGTGAAAGCAACAAATACAATGGTTTTCCAGGATTCTCATTTTGGCTTTCAATGGTACCAGTGAGCTAGTTGGAAGTTGGAGTGAGAGTTAACAGAGGAAGACACAACATCAGGCCTTTCTACAAACATCAATCTTCAGTTCTGCCCCATTAAAGTAAGGTGAAGGTCTTGTGGCCATCAATAAATCAGTCTGTTTGGATGGGAAGAAGCCAGCGGAGGAGATGCCTTCCCACGCTGTGGGAACCTGCATGTTCTGCGTGTTACCCTGCGGTTCTGGATGTGCGCAGCAGGAAGGGACATCCACACCATCCAGATGCGGGGAGGGCTGTTACGTCTGCGAGGGAACTGCTGCAATGGGAACATGCTGCAGAATACAAGACTGGCATTGTCAGCAAGTGGGATAAATTTAGACCTAATTTACTGCAGTATAACTCTCCAATAAAACACACACAATCTGTTTTGATACATCCCTGAAGTCATGTCACCACAACAGTTATTTTCTTCAATCCAGCAGAAACCCCAAGGGAGGAGAGCGTATGAAATACATGTGGGGTGTACTAGACATGATGGGTGCAAGAAAGCCTGTTCTCTGGTCTAGAGAAACACAGTTCAGAGCAGAAAGAGACACAGAGCTGTGGGATACAGAAAAAAACATGAAGTGAAAGGCTGCAAGACTGCAGGGGTCAATACTTAGAATTCATACAAATATTTCTTTTCAAATGGAAATACATAAATCCACTTTAAAGTATGCTCCATTTAATTTCAGTCCCTCTGTACTGGAAAACTGTGAATAGATTTATATCAATGAGGTTTAATGAATAACCTGTGCAGATTTCAAGGTAGAGTGTCAGCTATTACAGAGAGGATGGAAAAAGGAAGGAGGAGATTAACATTAATTTAACAACTTTCACACCATACATTTGCTCACTCCAATTAATTTAATGGACTAGACAGGTGGCCTGGGAGATTTATCCCTTTACACTGATCTATGGCAACAACTGATTTTCAGTGGTTCAACTCAACACAATGAAACAGTATGAAAACTGTTTCGGAGAGGGAACAGCTCATGTTACTTTGGGGATGCATATGGACTACACAAGTTTATATACTTTTGAGAGATGAGGAACACCAAAAAAAAAAAAAAAAAAGGTGTTCACTGAAAAAGTGAACTTTCCGTTTAACCGAGGGATAACAGTTATTCTCAACAGCTGATCTGGAAAATATTAATGAGAGAGAGAGAGAATTTTCCAGGTCCCTTAATGCAACCATTTCCCAGAGGCTTCACAGGAGAACATCAGACTTTTATTTTTAGTTTCTTATGAACTCTGATATAGTATGTGTCTACTTAAGTATTAGAGAGGGAAAAAATGGGTATTCAAGGAGAGGCTATGATTAAATCACCACGTGTTCCCAAACACTGGCACTAGAGTGACTGTCTTTGAACTCTGCTGTTTGAAGCTGGCTGTTCCCTAAAACAATTAGACAGAGATCAACAGAGATAAGACCTCAGGGAGTGCTCCAGTCTCTGTGAATGAGTTTCAGTATCAGAAATGAGTTTTACAGTAACTTTTCCTAAAATGGGATCAGAGAACACTCATGTTACCTCTTCTACAAGGAGAGAAAAGGGGGTGGAAACCAGATGGGGGTAGTACCACCCACAGCCTGTTACTATTTGAACAGCATTATGTGGGCATAAGCAAAGCAATCATGCCCATTACGTAAGGGAACAGTACCCATTTGGATCTCCCATAATAGGGTCTTACCTAAAGAAAAATCTCTGTCGATCTTCTTCTTGTCCATTCCACCTAAATATCCGTTTTCACTGAGAGAGATAACACGCTTGGAAACAGCCCCTGAGCTTGCCAGTTTGCTTCCTCTCTCCTCTTGTACCCTTGACAGCTTCTCCTCATCCACCTCCTCTCCCGAGTCTGCGCTCTTAATGCTCAGACGTCTCATCCGGGACACAGAGTCAACTTCTTTCATTCGCACTAAGCGATCCATGGCAGTCCGGCTAGGTGGCGAAGTAAGCTTGCCTTGGAGTGTCTCTATCACTTTTGAGGTGCTTCTCACTCTCTTTTCTGAATGCTGATACACAGCTGACTTGCAAACCAAGTTTTGGTCCTCACCTTGGCTGGCACTTGCAGGTTGCTGAAGAACTTGCTCAGTTACCAGCGTTTTAGCGCTGTCTTCCGGGTGAGTGGTCTGACATTCATCAGGGTGTAAAGATCGGCCTCCTGCTCTGACAAAGAGAGCACTTTCTGTCCACCCACACTTTCGTCTGCCTTCATAAGAACTCTCCTTTCTAACTTCTTTGTCACTTACTGTGCTTCCCACTGATGACTCGAAGTCCTGGGCACCATTTGCAGGGCTAGTGCCTGGGTGGGGCCCAGTGTGGTCATTAGGAAGAAGAGACTCCACTGCTATATCTATACCTAAAATTCTTGCAGCTCTTGCCTGCAATGACTCATTCACAGGGATTTCCACTGCATTTGCATTTGAAGAGTGATCAGAATTGTTAGCACCAGGTCCTGGGGCTACATCAAGTCCCACTGACCTCAAATCTGGCTCAGAGCGCCCTTGGTTCTTCTTCGTTAGTGACAAGCGTACTACTGAGCCTCTCTCTAATACCATATCATTTGTGGGAGTTGTGCCTTTGCTTAGTTTAACAAAGTCTAGGTAATTTTGGTCTTCGCTCATCTCCTGCAAGACAGGGTTATTGAAGGGATTACTGTGACATGAACTGCTTGGGCTACTGGACAAAACTCTCTGGAGAGGGCCCACGTGAACTGGCTGCTTGCTTGTCCTGCTCTTGGCTTCCCCCATCCTCATTTCTGTTATCAGACTTCCATCTGCTGGCCTGACTCCTTCACTGCTCCCTCCTGGCTGCGAGAAACCTTCAGAGCCAATGCAGCCCAGCTTGCCACCATGCTCTGTCCCCAGGCTCCAACTTTCAGACTTACTTTTAACTCTTCCTGACTTGAATACAGGCACCTCTGTCACAACCGTTTCCAATTTCCCACCATGTTTTGGCTCCTGGTTTGACTTCTCATTTCTGGATGCCCTTCTTTGCATAACAGCACCTGCCTGCAGAGAAGCTGCAGCACTTTCCAAATCTTCTTCACTGCTCGTGCTCTCCTCCTGCTCTTGCAGCTCCTTGTTAAAACTTTCTAGCTCACTTATTGCATCCCAGGGACGGCGACTTACAGGCTTCAACAAGAACTGCCCAAACAGCTCTTTACTGTTGCAGGGAGCACCTGCTTCTCCCTTAACTACATCTCCCCTGGAAAGAAGGCCAGTTTCCCTTTCCTGAGCAGCCATGGGCTGGCTCTGGTGGGCTTTTGGGGAGGAGGCCTGAAGGACTGAGGTAGCAGTCCTGGAAAACGCACTGTTGCTAGACTGGCTGAGGTACATTTGACCCTTCATACCATAAGCGCTCTGTCTGGAGCTTCTCTCATCAGAAGGTAACTCTGTCTGTTTTGACCCTATCGTGGATGCTGTACATCCTAGTTGCTTTGGAGACAGCTGTTTGTTACTATTGGGCTGCCCAGGCTTTGTACCATGGAAAAATTGTGGGCTTTTAGGTTCTTCAGCAAAACTGGTCTGTGTCTGCTGGTCTTTGTACTGATCACCTGGCCAGGAGCCAGAGTATTTGAGCTCTCTGTGTTTTGTCGGCTGAATAAATCTGAGGTCATTCATTTGTTTGAACTCTTCTGGTCTCCACAGCTCTTGTTTTTGTAACTCATTTTTATTGGTCATGCTTCCTGTAAGTGCTTGTAACTCCAAGTCCGTTGAAGACATACTTAAGAGACTTTGTTCTTGCAAAGCCCCATTGTTATCAAACCCATTCTTATCAGGGCTCTGGGTTATGTTGTTGTTCCTATCTGTATCTGGCAGATTGGATTCTGATTTAACTGGGATAGAGACCAAACAAAATATAGTTTCATTCATTTTTTTCTTTGAACTCTTTTTGCTCTGCATCCCAGTTCCAGGTTCAAACTTTTTCACTTTTGTAACAGTCTCACAGGTGCTGTCCATATGTGAATTTCTTGCAGAAAGTTTGCCTTTTGTGTACTCCGCGCTGGCTTCGTTACGGGGGCTGTGATTAGTTGTGCTACAACTGTCTCTTTGGTCTGGCAAGGCACAATTTTCCTGATCTCGGATGGATGGTGCCAACCATCTGTTGCTATGGGTGGAGCAGTCAGAAGTTCTTTCTCCCTTTGCGGAATTGGACAAGTTTGATGCATCCGAAAAGGCACTGTTGTACTGTACTTCAAGATCTCTCTCTTGCAAAGCACCAGAACTGGGACTACGTGCATTTTCAGTGTATTTAGCATTGCCCTGCAGACATTCTGGTGGCACAATTTTAATATGTCGTATCCGAGGATCATCAAAGGGAATATACTGAACAGAACGCAGGTAGTCAGCAGGACGCCTTGCATGGCTTTGCTTCCCGTGAGGAAGATGATTGTCTTTGCAAGGGTCACCCCCCGCTTCAAAAGTATTCATGGCTGGTTGTTGGCAGGGGACAACCCGCTCTGCAGGACCCTGCTGATCACTGCTGGCATACGTGTTGGTGTTAGGCACTTCATTGAGGGGATTTGGGGTCACATTTTGGTGAGGTGGGGATTTGTAAGAAGGAGGAGGTACGTAGACTGGGGGCTCCAAACCAGAGTCTTGAATGCAAGCATCTTGCCTTGGCTCATTAACTTTGGCTAAGTAGGAGATGGGTTCGTCTTTCTGGTAGTGGTCCTGGAATCCTGCAGTTTCTGCAGGTGCCCTGGTCTGCCGCTGCAGTTCGTAGGACGGAGGCTTAAGGGGTCTCCCATACTTGGGTTTCACCAGAGGAAGGAAATGGCTTCCCGTTTCGTGGTGCTTGCCTGGTTCTGCACTCAGTCTGCTTGGGGGATAGGAGGGGGTTTTAGTTACGCTGAGTGAGTTGTTGCTGTTGGTCAGGGAGGGCATTTCAACACACCTCATGCTCTCGGGCGAAAGGACCCTCGGCAATGACTGCGATTTCCCCTTGTTATGGCTGCTCAGTACGTTGTCTCCCAGGGTCAGTGAATACAGCTCTTGAAGCAGCTTCTCCCTGTCACCCTCGGACATTTGCCTCCCTACCTTTTTTGGCTGGTTCCAGCTTTCCATTCCCAGGCTTTGCCATTTGCAGTCGCTGGGCACTTCACAGCTTTCCTGCAAGCCGCTTCTTCTGACATACCCTGTGCCTGTCCCCACCTTCAGGTGACTTTCCTTGGGGTGCCGGGGTGTCCCCGGGGCTGCAGCCAGGCCTTTCATTTCCACACTGGCTTTCTGGGAATAGCCCAGTAGAACACTGAAGTCCTGTCCTCGTCTTCTCCAGTAGGCGAGATCTTTATCAGTCTTGGGCTGGGAAGACCATGCTAATTGAGGCTTGTCATAAACCCTGAAAAAGAAACGCAGTGTCACAGGCAGTTTGCACTGATACCCTTTCTTTCTCTTATGGGTAAGGCTGTTAGGAGGTCAAATATTGAGTTATGCCAATAGGGTTTGTGTAATCTGTTCACAACCACATGACTTTATGATTTTAATGAGAGGATTTAGAAGTCAGTCATTAACATGAGTAAAGGAAGGGACCGATGCTCTGCTGGCATGTTGTTAGCTATGCAAAGCTGTTAGAAAGAGAAACAAATGCACACAGTTACATGCTGTGCAAACATGCACAGCCCTCCTCGATGGACACCAGAAAACCAGAAATGATTGTGTTGAACTTATTTCTTTACTCTGCTATATCAAAATCTGTAGGTGTCAAGGGGACTACTGTGGTACGCAAGTTTAATAGGAACCTAAAAAGCAGAGGTAGGCAGAACAGGTAGAGGGCTATTCCATAAGATACATTCTGTAAGAAACATGATTTGCATCCTAGTATAAGAGCTTAAATTAAACATGCCGTTTCCAGCATTGGTTCTTGTTCATCTTTCTAAGGGAAGAAATTTCGTCAAAGTGCTTTGGATGAAATGATACATGCCACAACAATGGTGATGTATCAGCATAGTTCTGATTAAGATGGAATTAATATCTATAATCAAAAACACCTCAAAAGAAGTATAAAATTCTTAAATAAAAGAGGGATTAACTCCAGCAATCTATTACTGAAGTATGAAAGACATTTGACATTTTATTGTGGATTAGAAATTCAGAACACAGATTTACATGAAGAGAATAGGTTCTTTGTGTGTTCTGAACAGAATGTAAACTGCTTTATGTATTACTGCTGAACAAAATTGGTACCCTTCTATATAAATAATTAATCTTCTACTTGAACCGTGTTCTGCTATTCTTGTACCTAAGGTGTCCAACAACATAACTGCCTTTACACTATGTGGCTGCCACCAGCATAAGACTGGAAAGAAAAATCAAAATTGACAGAAATAGGACAAGTATGTAGATAGAACCCAAGAATTTCTGTCTCTTCCTTCCACCCCAAGGTATATAAACAGTGTCATCTGGCTCTTTTTTACTAAAAACAGTGATCTATTTAAATAGTAGTTGGTGAAAACATAATACAATTCAAAATTCAGAATGAAAATTAAGCAATCCAGATCCACAGCAATTTTCTTTTACATATATTAACTTCATCCTATGACTATAAAAGTTTAAAAACCAGACTGGGATAAGTAGCATCTTGTTCATATTAATTTGGCTGGATTAAGACCTAACATCTGACCAAAACATTCAGCCTCTGAAGCACAAAGTACAGTTTGATTGCTGAACCCCAGGAAGTAACAGACATCTTCATTAATCAGTGAGATATAACAGGACACCTCCTATATTGGAAAGCTGATTGCAGTAACAACAAACGTTTCCATGTCTCTCTGCCTGTGGAAACATGCAGCTGAACAAATGCTGCCGGCTTCTGAGACTATCAAATCTACCTTTCCATCTCATCCCCATGCTGCTATGGCACCATTTGTATCTGTGTTTGCAAAACGAAGTGGGAAACAGGGTCTAGTAACAGTGAGGAGGAAACGGACAGGTTGCTCTTTCTGTTTGATTTTAATCCATCACTGTAAAAGGGTCTACAGAAATCGCAGGAAGCACAGAGTCATAGATTCCAAGATCAGAAGAGACCGTTACAATTATTTAGTTTGACATCTTGCTCAATGCAGGCCATCAGACTTCCCCGAAATGTTTCCTGCTTCAGTGGTAGCATGTCTTCTAGAAAAGAATCTAAAAATCTTGATCTTTAAATTTCCAGAGGTGGTGTTGTCACCATTAAAAAAAAAAAAACCCACACTAAACCCAGATTCTTATCAACCCAAATTTAAAAACATTGAGGGAAGGAGGCATAGTAGACAATAATATTGAGACTTGCAAAAGTTACAACCAGCAGCACGGGAACGGAATGGGCTGGCTGTTTAAAGGATTTAATAGGAAATCAGGAATAGGGAAGGGAGCATTACTAGACTCTTTCCTACATTGTAAACCAAACTAACCAAAACAGAAGAGTTTTGGTTACTTTGCTTTTTTTTAAAACCAAACAAAACCCAAGCTCAGCCATTCATGAAAGTAAATTAGCCCTAAGTTAGGACAGCTTCAGTTACAGAAAGGATGTTCCTCCATTTATTAAAAGCTGTTTAAAAGATTAAATTTATTTTTTAAAAGATTAATAACTAGGGCCCAGTAATGAATTTCAGAACATGATACAAACCACCATGTAACTTGTACCATGTTATCATTGAAACACGAGTGTAGAAAAGACATTTAAAAGGAGGTATTCAGAGCATTTTAAACCTGGTCTTTTCTATGATCTGTTCACAAGATGGACAGTGTCAGTCTCTCCAGATCCCGGCTCAGACAGCCTGTACTATGGGCCCCATAAACCTCTGGAGAGGATGGCACTGCACTGTGCAGTGGGAAGGGGATGCTCCATAGTATCCCCAAGGACCCTCCAGCTTAGCTCCAGCCTGAAAACCCCTCTGCTCCCAAGGACGGAGGGCAGCTCCCGCACACCTGCTTGCAGCAGGCACAGCAGGCAGGCAGCAGGCAGCAGGCAGTGGGGCGGCACAGCGCAACCACGCTGCTTGTGGCCACAACTGCAGCAGAGAGTGCCTCCTTCCAGGACACATGACACTTTTGGGTCTTGCAGTCAATGAAGTGGTGGGAAGGGGGAGCATCCAAGAGCCACCCCAAGTTCAAAATGCTTCACTATAACCTCAGCAATGGTACATCTCTGGATGGCAAATGCCAGCCATGCTGCAGGCTTTGTGTCCATGACGTATTATCAATGAAGAGACCATGCAGTCCCTCTTAGCAGCAGCTGGTCTCTGACTGTGCCACTACACAATTCTGTCTCACTCCACGATGCATTGGTACTGACGCACAAAGAAATGCGCACCTAGACACAGCAGCTTGCAAGTACTTCACAGCTGGGAGGGCTGCCAAGGATGGAGTGGTCCCATGGGACCAACAGGAACGATTTAAGTGCCAGGGACAGAGTGGTCCCATGGGATCAAGGAGGTAGATTTTAACATTATGAACTCTTCTCTTACAGGCCTGTTTCTAATGAATATCACATTTGCTGTTATAAAGTGCTTTGAATTGATTTTATATAAAATCAATCTAATGAAAACTGTTTTAAAAACCCAAACTATTGCGAGATTTCAATGAATTTTAGGCCTTCACAAGAAACGAGGCCATCAGTCCACCCTGCACTGGATGCATGACCGCATTTCACCGAGCTGCTGCTCTCAGAGCAATAGGTTGAAGCTGCCCCGTTCCCCTAGGGTGACGCTGGACCAGCAGGACCTTGCATGACGCACATAATGGGACCAGAAGTGGAGCATGGCACAGGCTTCGAAGTCAAAACCCTGCAGAATGAAGCCACTGCAGGGCTATCTAGGGAGTTTCTGTCCCTGTTTCTGGCCACCAGTGCACAAGTGGTAGGCATTAGGCACCCAGTAGCTTAGGGTGGGTGAGCCACAGGCACCAGGACAGACTTTGTGCCCAACAAGGAGGCACTATTAAAAAATTTGCAGGATTTGGCAACAAGGGAGAAAAATTTTCAGAGGACTGTTCTGGACACTGGCATCTTCTGTTCTATTTTGGGATCCTATCCTCACACATGCTTTTCTGAGCCCAAACATTGGGAAACACCAGTACACTTTTCTAATTTTTCCAGCAGCTGATCTCATTAATGATGTTATTTATTTATGTCTAAATTTGCTAGCTACCAACATAGTTCATCCCACACAAACAGCTAAGCAAAGTGCCTCTTCTCTCCACTCAGAAGAGAACCAGGAGGGAGTTCTTCTGTGAACCCTCTCGTCTCTACACATAGGGTCAGCTTTCCCATTTTCTTTGCCTTGTCTCCTCTTCCAAACATTTACTGTGTGGCCTCCTAATGCTCAGTTAAGCAAGGACAGCCAGGATAGCCCTCCTACGACCCACTCCCCCACGCTTTGCTTGAAGAACAACAGGATGGAACAAAGCATCACTTCCCCGCTCCGCCGGGGCGTCACTCCCCCCTTGCAAGCAGCAGCAGCAGGTGGTATGATGTGCCCACATGCAGTTGCTATGAAGCCTCTCTCCTCCTCAGCAAGGTTTGATCAGAAGAACAACCCTAATGAGTGGAGACAACAGCACCATCCCCCACCTTCATGAGTCCTGCAAACCTGTCTGCAAAGGCAGCAATGAGGCGAGCAGCATCACTCCCTTCCATGGTGTTTGGAAGGTGATTAGCTCTTCTGCATCAGTGGTCTTAGCAAAAATGTTGTGTAGATAATTACCTGGCTAAGGAGCCTAAGTTATACTCTGAATTGCCATGGAGCTGGTCAATGTCTGTGAAGATAGTTGGGACACACACTGTCTTTTCTGGCCCTCTCCTGCTGCTGAGCTGCCCTGGAAAGGCCATGTCAAGAGATGGCTGCAGGAAGCCTGCAATGCCCAAAGAGCAGCATCTTCATGCTGGACCTTGCTGGGTGGTTGTCCCCTCTTTGAGCCCAAATGTCTCTTCTTGTGTGTGTTCTTTCCCAGCCTGGCAACCAGGAACCTATTCCCACAGCAGTCCAGAAACCAGACAGTGGAGTTCAATATGGCCTACCACAGTTTTAAAACAGCTCACACTTGGAGGGCAGCCCGGTGCCTCGGATGCTTCCCCAGGGCAGGGGAGTGGCTCTGGAGCAGGACTGTCACCCTGGAGATCAGCAGCCAAAACATGGGTGCTGCAGCACTGAGGCTGCAGACAGCTCTCCCGGATCTGGCCCAGAAAGGTCGCTCCTCCCTGTACCAGCAGGTGCCCCGCTCTGCACCAGAAGCACTCTGCACACCCATGGATGGCAAGAAAGGGACGGCTGATACAAAGGTTTTCCCTTGTTCATAGCTGCTAGTGCCTTGTAAGAGTTCCAAATAGGCTCTCTGGGAATCAGAATTTCCTGTAACAATAATAGTGAGAAAAGAATTCTATTTCTATGAAAGTGTAGCAAAGCCATTTCCAGGGCTGCATTCCCTATTTTATGTGGAAAAGCCACTTCTTAAAACCAGGATATAATATTTAACTATGCTGTAGACTGACAGGTTCCACCCCTTGCATTTAGAAAGAGACATTTAAACTGGCAGAGAGCATTATTTTATATTTAGCCAACGTCAGCAGTTACAGATACCTCTGCCACGTCCGAGATGTGGGGCAGACATGCAAGCCCTTGCAGATGCACCTGGAGAAGAGGGAGACAGGGAGGCAGCAGTCCTCCCACACCAACACGCACCCACACAGGCTCTGCCTTACAGGGCGTGGGAGCTGTACTGTGCTGCAGTATCTTCCAGCCTTGCACAGCCATATCTTCTTCACACCAGTTTTTCTGCACACTAGAAACTCAGCTCCAAAGCCAAGCACCACCTTCCTTGGCACCCCTGAGCACTCTCTTCCCCTGCTTTAAAAACTTTTTCCCTCCCATTCTTTCCACACTTCATTGCTGTCCAGTTTACTTCACACAAAACACACCATGAAGGATCCTCCATATTACCTTTAAACCTGTGTCCTCTCCTTCCTTCTCCAGTAGGGATGGTTCCACCGGGGGACCTTCACCGCGGCTGGAACTTGCTGCCCTAGGACTGCTTTACGGGACTCACATCTCTTCCTGCCCATTATCCTAGCTGGCAGCCAGTAGGCAAACAGGCTTGCAAGGGGAAGAGATACGAAGGGGAAGAGCAGACGAGCCCAGCAGCCAGGGGACACATGCCTTTGCCACGTGTTACTGAAGGTCTTCGTAAGAGGACAAGCTCCCAAGGCGGCAGCGTTTTGCCATGCTTTCAGTTTCAAGCCCACTCGTCAGGAGGAAGGGGCTTTTCCTTATAAACCATCGTCACACTTGGGCTGGCTTCCAGTCCTGCTCTAGCCCCTTTCCTTTGTTAATCAGCAGCACTCAAATAGCCGCAGAACAATGGCCGAGCAGCGGTGTGTACACACAGCTCTTCCTGCCCAGCCTGCCCCAGCCCCAGCACGCACGTACTCTGTATTAAGCAAGCCATGGTTGTAGAAGCACGTTTTATGAAGTGACGACAAGAGCTTCCACTGGCTTGGAGCTGTTTTAAAAAGAAACGCACAGGCACCTTCTCATGTTTACTCCACAAGAGCAGCCTCAAAAAACCAAGAAAGTCCTCAGTGTATGTAGGAACACCCACCAAGAGCTGCACATGGCTGAATCTACAGCAAAACCCAGAAGAAGCTGGGTTCAGTTTTTTAAAACTGAAGAAAAGGAAGAGCTTTTGACCCTTTTTTTAACTGTACCTGGACTGAGCTTTTCTAAGCCCAGCAGAAAGGCCTTTCTGATAATGATCACATTAGTAAATGAAACTTTCCTACACTCAGCCACTTCCTATCACCCCAGTATTCTCAAAGGTGAGTGGATGTGCTACTGCTTTGTGTGGACTTGCAGTGCATGGAAATAGTCACTAGTATGGGAGCAGGAAAGGATCACAGGAAGATGATATCAAGGGTTAGGGTCATGCTTAGTTATTTGTCAGGACCAAAAGAAAGAGAAAGCAAAGCCATGGCATGATGCTGAAACTTACCCCCCTTCTGAAGTATGAAAAGTGGACAAACCCTGATGGTCATGGTGGTAACCAGGACCTGCTTGCCTCCCTTGGCTCCCATGGCTGCTTTCAGTGCTGCTTGAGTTGGTTTTCACCAGAGGTTTCTTGCTGTAAGCGCCAGCTCTTGATTCTGCCTCAAACCCGTTCAGCGTTCTCTGAGCAGATCTGTGCCCTGTAGTTTCATGCCGGTATCCATCATACCTGTTCTCATATGAAATAGGGGGATTTTTTGATAATTTATATCCATGAGAAATCAGGAGGTCCTCGACACTGAACATGTTGTGCTGGTTTCACTCACAGCTGTGCCATCAGAAAGCTCTTTCCAGCAGGACCCATCACTGGAAAACAAAACCAAAAACAACCAGAAGGCTGCTTTAAACAAGGAAAGATATCTTTGATCAGCTGGTAGGCTGCTGAAGCTAAAAGTCTCATCCCCTGGCCTGAGTCTTCCACCCTTATAATAAAATAGATGAAGCAAAGCGCATGCAGATGCTGATGAATCATGTGCTGACCTTCCCTAGGCAGTACACCTCCATGCACTCCGCCAAGCAGCAGATGCCACGCTGCTGCTGACTCAGTCCATTTCACTGAAGAATTCACTGGTGATTGCAGCTTTCAGATTTCACCAAGTGATCTCAACAAAATCTTTGCAGCGGAGGTGAGCCCACAATTTGAGTCAGCCATTTCCTTAAAGAACAATTTTTCTCCAGTCATGGAGAGGTGTACTCTGTATTATGTTTTAAGTTGCTGCAGGAGGAGGGGGTGGATTACAGGGCGACATGCCTCTCCCTACAGCTCCGCATATTCCAATTAAGGCAAAATGTTCACATAAACAAGGACAAAATATGCATGAGTACAAAAATGAGTTATGCAACCACATGAGAAACCCAGGTAATATCATGCAATACCCCAGTTAAACAGTCCTTTTTACAGATGACTTTCTTTTTGGCATGTGTTGGCCTGCTGGAAATCAGTAATCCTCAACTAGAATAATACAAAACCTAAGATTTCAAGTACGCTCTATTTTTACAGCACACTTCCACTATATAAAATGACTGGAAACAACCTGAGATGCCCGTGTCTATTGTGTCTCAATGATTTCCAAGACACAGGACAGTCAAGATTTTTCTTCCCAGTGATAGCCCTCAGTTCTGCACTGACTAGAGCAAAGATCCAGCAAACTGAATTAGTTGGCTGGAAACAATCTCTATACCACTCTTCTAGCTCATTATGTCAATTACAGAATACCCATTCTTCTGGAGTTTTAAAATGAGTGGAAGGTAATGATCTATTCTGTAGGTTGTGCACAAGAGACCCATTCTGATACATTCTGCCTTGTTTGAACTGTGTTACCAGAAGAAAGAAGTAAAAAAAAAGGTGGATAAAGAAGAAGTAAACCACACAGAAATAGATTCATTATGTAAACCATAAAACACTCAAGATGATTTTCCCTGCATGAAGAGTTCATTTAACATGCCTGGTGAGTACTCTGTGTCCTTAGTAGTAGCAGGTCTACCTGAGGGACAGGAGGCGGCTACTCAAAAGGAGATTGTCTCTGCAAAGATCATCACAAGCAAGTGCATTTTATACACTGGTCTGTAATGCTCTTCTTGGGCAAAAAGAAAGGGAGAAGTCTGTTCACCGCTGTTTGCAATAATTTACTTGAGATGGAGCAACTACAGAGATGGCTGCTACTCATTTATCGGTACTGAATCTCCCAGGCTACACATACACAGAAGCTGATGTGTTGGCTTAGAATATAAACCAGTTTCTGTGGTGCAGCGCTCCATATATTATGGCCATTTTTTGCCTATCCAGCGCCCCATCCATTCTCTGCTCCCACCCTGTCTCCTGCACGCTCTGCAGACTGCAGAGCCAGTCCAGCCGGCTGCTCCGGGCCAGCCTGATGTGCAGCTCCGAGGCACTCAGGGACCCTCCAGCCGCCTCTGCCCTGCACTGCTCACAGCGGCCAGGGCAATTGCCCAAGGACAGCTCACAGCGTGGAAAAAACATGCACAATTTTTATGCAGACCCACAATTTAACTGGTAACCTGGAACGCTGCAGAAGTGGCTTTTCAGCCTGAGAGCCTGCTGAGCTCTTAAACCAGTTTGTCTCTAGAGCTTAATGAATCTCTTCACTTCTCACACATGTAACACTACACACCCTTTAAAAACAGAAAAATAAAGCTCTGTGCCCAAGATATTTTAGGAGTATCCCTTGCTAGAACAGGACTCCAAATTCCCAGTGAGTGCTCTGAGTAAGCGAGCCAGCAGTAAGTACAAGCAGGCAGAAAGCAGGGAGGAGCAGGACCCTTCCCTCTTGGAAGGAAGGGAAGGCTTCATGGGTTATTTTTGAATGCTGACCTAAAAGGTTGATTTTCCATCCACCCACCACCCTGGACTGTGCAAGGAGCCAGGTATGAGCAGAACAAGAGGAACAGCTGGCTGCTAGAGCTGTTCAGCTTCTAACAAGAGAAAGATCCAATGTGACTACCATAAACAGCAGAAAGCCCATCAGAGCGCTCACAGGTGCAAGGAAGAAATGTGCTTTTCCTGCTATTATTGTCAGGCTGGCTTGGAGCACAGCTTAACCCCCTCTCTGCCGTCTGCTGCAGCCATGGTGCCATCAGAGAGGCAAAGTCAAGTGAGTCAGAAACCTCCAGACCATGGGGTTTACTCTGATCCTCCTTTTGGCACTGGTGGTGAGGAAAAATGGGGTGCAAATGCATTGTGAGGAACTGGTGTGACTGCCTCCTCTTGCTGTACAAACTTATCACGTGTGGAAGGGAAAGCCCTGCGGTGCTACAGGCAGTGGGAAGGCCCAGCTGGGAGCAGGATGCTATCTGTCGCTGTGCTCATCACAGCTCTGCAATGGGAACAAACATTCCAAGGTGGAAAAGCCTGCACCCCTCTGCCTGGCATGCTGCCCTCGGTGCCAAACCCCCTGATGAGCTCTCCCGAGGCCCATCACATGGAAAAATGCTCTGGGCCCATGGCACAAGTTCCCAGGAGCCAGTGGCAGTAGTGGCAGGTAGCTGCTAGCCAGGACACTGTCAGGACATATGTTTCAAAGGGCTGCGCAGAAGTCGTGGGGAGGTACCAACCCCCACATCGGACCTGGCCAGGGGCAGGGGAGACGGAGGCCCTGCCCGAGCAAAGCCTGCAGGCCATCAACCATGTCAGCACCCAACGTCCGCAAGGATGCTGGCCAGCTTTCCAAACCTGGCTGTGGTGCTGGGATGCTTTTCCCACCCTCTCTTAGACAAACAAATCTAAAAAATAAAATCAAAGGAATTGGATTGGCAGGAGTAACAAAAACTGTTGCTGCAGCACTGTCTTGTAAATAATCTGTCAGACTGGGCCAAAGAGTAAAGGCTGTGCAGAGCTTCTAATTTGAGGGAAGATCAACAACGCTGGAAAACAGTTTGTTTTTCCAGCGCTCATTTGTTTTGTTTGCCAATGACATCAGTGCTTTCTGATAGGGTTTGCTTCCTGAGGATGCCTGCTATCTTGCCAGCGTTTCCGACTTGTCCCCGTCAGCCGGTACAGCTCCGCATTACACTGGAAACGGGGGCCAAGCTGTTCTCTGGAAACTTCTCAGCAGCACTCTCAGATGCAAAGAAACAAGCATGAATGGCGGAAATCAGCATCAGCCCCCATGCACACAGACACAATGGGGACCCACAGCCACGGCGAGCAGGACACAATGAGACCACCAGAAGGAAACATCATCAGAGCACCTCATCTCAGGGTGCTCTGTCTGAGAGCGAGGATCTCATCGCTTGTCCTGAGAAAAGCCCAAAGCTCTCCTGAAAGATACCCTGAAGAAATCTGGTGCTAGAGTTTCCTCTGAGCTGCTTCTGGAGCCCATTCTTGGTGGGGGAAATGCACTAGTTTCTGTTGATGGTCTGCCTTTATCTGCAGGTTTTTTCAGTGGCAGGGGTTCCCAAGCCTTATTATTTGGGGGTGGGGGGTGGGGAGTGTGTACCACCACCACCACCTGTACAATGGCCAGTACCAGCAATGATGACTGCCAACACTTGCAGCAGTGGCAGAAGCAGCTCTTACCTCCATGCTCTGGAACGGCTTGCATGCCGTCAAATCCTCCCTGCATGGTATTTCGAGCAGCCCATCAGTTTGCTCCTTCCTTCAGCCCTGGTTCCAGAGAGCGTCCTGGCACAGCACCCACATATTGGGTGGGAGACCAGAAGTGACAGAGAATTTGGCCCTGACTGCCTTCTGTTACATCTCTCCTGCCCTCTGCTACTTGAAATAAAGTGGAAGGTGGCAACCCTTTAAGTGTTTGAATACAACCCCCGAAGTCCTTCTTGCGCATGGTTTGCCCTGCCCACTTCTGCAGAACTATTTATAACGCTTTTGTAAGTGGTTCTGTACAACTTTACAAAAAAGAAAACATTGAAGGAACATGATTCATATCGCAAAATGAAGCATACAAACATCATGAATTGCCAAAATGAAGGCACCCTGCATGGACGCATGAGCTGCTGTGTAATTACATGACTTCAGGCTACTGAATTCTACAGGACTCCTGCCTGAAGTGCAGGCTAGGTGATGCCAGTCTTCCTGAACTTTATCTGCAGCAGCTATCCAAACACTGTTCTGAAGACAGAGTTACTATCAGGCATCTGAGTTACAAAGCTTATTATCTAGATGGGTCACGCATTAAACTAGCTTATCTTCACTCACGTCTGGGTGACATTATTCTCATTTCATATCAGATGTGTGCCAGACAGAAGTATTTATGCAGACAGACTAAAGTGAAAACAACCCTCTCCATTCTAGGCACCCAGTCTGAAGTGCCTACAACCTGATTTTTTAAAGCACTTAGCCTTAGAAGTGAACTAGGTACGTTCAAAACAACTACTGCAAGAAGCTATCAGCACACCAACCCAAGTGTGGCAAGTCAGCTGTCCACAAAGTGAAGATGTGGGATGAGCCAAAACATTGGTCACAGTAATTTGTCTACTGTGCTTTCCTCTATCCCTCTGCCCATCTAATCCAGCACCAACACTTTTTTCCAGGCAGCCTCGTACCCTTCTCTCCTCTGTTAACTCCTCACCACCAAGCACCCCAGTGCCTTCATTTCCCTCTTCCCACACCTACCTGTCCTTCTTGCCACCCCCCAGCATCCCTTCCCTGCCTTCCCATCTCCTGGTCCCACCAGTCCAGCTGCTCTTCCCACACAGCCCAGCATTGTGCTAGCCAGACTGCCCTGCCCTCCTGCACCCCTTAGCTTCTCCTGACTAGTCCTTGGTTT